GGCACCCAGGACCCTGGACGGCGCCACCTGGGCCCCAGCTTTGTCAGGAAGGACGTCTGCAATGATGTCTGGTCTATCTGGTCTAATTAGCATATTACCCTTTTATTAGTATAGATTGCTAGATTTGATATGCTGATGTTTCACTTAAGATGTTTGCATCTTTGTTCATGAGAAAGATTACCCTATAATTTTCCTTTTTTTATAATGTACTTGGAGTTTTGCCATCAAGGTTACATTGCCTCATAAAAATATTTTCCCTTTTCCTGTTTTCTGAAAAAGGTTAGTGTAGTATTGGGTCCTCCCTCCCTCCTCCTTATATAGTCTCGGATAATTATATACATTTTTATCATGGGGTCTTTTTCTACTTAATATTTTTTTAAACATGTTTTTATTGATTTCAGAGAATGGAAGAGGGAGAAAGAGATAGAAATATCAATGATGAGAGAGAATTATTTATTGGCTGTCTCCCACACACCCCCCCTACTGTGGATCAAGCCTGAAATCTAGGCATGAGCCCTGACTGGGAATCAAGCACTCACTTCCTGGTTCATGGATCGATGCTCAACCACTGAGCCACACCGGCTGGACTCAACTTAATTATTTTAGTCTCCCACCAAACCTTTTGTACTGGATTGCCTAGTACATGCTTTGTTTGTTGAATAAATAAGCATGTTTTTATATTGTCTTTTTCTCTGATTGTCCACTTGAGTCCATCTTTTTACCACCACCAATTAATCATTTTTAATCTTATTATTACTGTTTTAAGTTTGCCATCAAAGTAATACATGTAAATATTTATGGGAATCAAATGATTCCACTTGGCTTATAACAGAAAAACAGGTCTGTTCTACTCATTCCCACTCTCAGAGACATCCACTTTCCGTTCTCTTAAAATAACTTGCTTAAAACTACTATTTCTCAGTTTTTTAATTTTATACATTGCAAGTTGACTGCCTTTGGTGGAAGATAAAGATTTTGCTATCTTAAGCCATAGATTTCCCAAAATACACATATAAACTCGCCTCCCAGCCTCCCAACAGTTATATCATAATATTTAAGTTTATACTTAATTATTTGTTATTTATGCTTATTTTCCTCCCTGAAGTTAATTTTGTCTAATGTAAACATTGTTTCAATACATACAGATGCATCAAACAATCCATCTTTTTTTCTTTTGAATTGAAAGCATACTGCTGAACTTCTCTTTTTATTAAATACTAGAGGCTCAGTGCACAAAAATTTGTGCACTTGGGGGGGGGCTTCCCTCAGCCCAGCCTGTGCCCTCTCGCAGTCTGGGACCCCTCAGGGGATGTCCACCTGCTGGCTTAGGCCTGCTCCCTGGGGGAATGGGCCTAAGCTGGCAGTCAGACATCCCTCTGGCAGCCCAACAGCCCTCGGAGGATGTCCCCTTGCCAGCGGGGAGCAGGCCTAAGCTGCAGTCGGTCATCCTTAGCGCTGCTGAGGAGGTGGGAGAGGCTTCCGCTACCACCACTGTGCTGGCAGCCGTCAGCCTGGCTTGTGGCTGACCAGAGCTCCCCCTGTGGATGCGCACTGACCACCAGGGGGCAGTTCCTGCAATGAGGGTCTGCCCCCTGGTGGTCAGTGTGTGTCATATTGACCAGTCATTTCCAGTCGTTCTACTGTTAGGGTCAATTTGCATATTAGCCTTTTATTATATAGAATAGGGGCCTGGTGCACAGGTGGGGCCGGCTGATTTGCTGTGAAGGGTGTCCTGGATCTGGGTGGGGGTCCCGCCGGGGTGCCTGGCCAACCTGAGTGAGGGGCTGATGGCCATTTTCAGGCTGCCCACAGCCCCTTCAGGGTGGAGGGTGGGTCCCACTGGGGTGCCTGGCCAGCCTGGCTAAGGGGCTGATGGCCGTTTTCAGGCTGGCCATGCTCCCCCATGGCGACCCAAGCTCCCAGCCTCTCCTTTTTTCTTTTTTTTTTTTTTCAGCGCCTCCTTGAGCGGAGGCCAGGGCGGGCTGGAAGCAGGTACCTGGGATTTATTTATCTTCTATAATTGAAACTTTGTAGCCTTGAGTGGATCACAGGGCCGGCCAGGGCAGGTGGGAAGCTTGGTTTCCTCCATCGCCTGGGGCAACCCAAGCTGCCTGATCACTCCAGCTCCGTGGCCGCCGCCATCTTAGTTGGGTTAATTTGCATACTCACTCCTGATTGGCTGGTGGGCGTGGCTTGTGCGTGTAGCAGAGTGATGGAGTGATGGTTAATTTGCATGTTTCTCTTTTATTAGTGTAGTTATAAATATTTTTAAATATATTTTTACTGATTTCAGAGAGGCAGGGAGAGGTAGAGAGAGAACGTCAATGATGAGAGGGAATCATTGATCAGCTGCCTCCTGCATGCCCCATACTGGGGATTGAGCCCGCAACTCGGGCATGTGCCCTGACTGGGAATTGAACCATGACCTCCTAGTTCATAGGTCAATGCCCAACCACTGAGCCATGCCAGTGGGCTGCTGATCTTCTTTATCATCTTCCTCCAGTCCAGATTTGCTTGCTTTCTAGGGCAACCTCCTTTCACTATTATCCTGGGAATATACTTGCCAGTCTTTTTGGTGCTGTACCTACTGTTTCCTGGACTCCATTTCTCTGGTTAATTCCTTTTTCTTGAAAAAGGGTTTATAGGAGCTTAAAATTCTTGATCTTATTTGTCTGTTTTTTGCCCCTATCACACTTGTTTGACAATTTGAATGTGTGTAGGATTCATGTTTCATATCTCTTTCCTCTCTGAATTTTGAAGGCAGAACTCCATTGTCTTTAAGCATCTCATGCCATTGGGAAGTTTTGTATCATTGTGATTCCTGACTTTACATGTGATCCTTTCCTTTCCTTTCAGAAGCTTTTATCCATTCTTGTTTCCCCAGTGTTTTAGAACCTGATGATGATGTGCCATTGTGTGTGATCCTTCCCCTGCTCCCCTCTTTTCTTTGTTTCTTTCACTGAACTGGTTACCAAGTGAATCCTTTCTATTTGGAAACTTATACCATGAGTTCTGAAGAGTTTTTAAATGTGATTTCTTGGATGATTTTTTTTCTGTTTTCTCATTCTGGAAGTTTTATTAAAATGTGCCCTTTTGACTATAGCTGTATTTTCCTTTCCTATTATCTAGCTTTGTCTTTTTGTTCTGCTTTCTGGGGGAGTTTTTCAAATTTATTTCAACCCTCTTGTTGGATTTTTTATTTTCCAAGGGTTCTTTTGTGTTCTCTGAATGTCTTCCCTCCACTAAAAGCATCCTGTTCTTTAAGGGTTTTTGTTGCTGTTGATTTTTCTTCTCTTAATTGTGTCTTTTTCTGTAAGTTTGTTTGTTCTGTTTGTCTTGGGCTTTGAGTATCTGGCGATTGTTAGTTGCTTGTTTGTATTTAATAGTGAGGCACTAAAAATGCTGACTTTCACATTGCTGCTGCTTGTGAAGCAAGGATTCTTAGAGACCTGGCTGTTTTCGAATGGGACTCCCAGATGGCAGGCACTATCTAAAGTTCTTTTCTTTTGGATACCTCAGGTTTTTTGTTTGGTCATTGTTGGTGGTGGTTTGTTTTTCCTATAGGGAAACCTTCTGGTCTTCTCTAGGAGGATAAAAACTTGATGCTAGTGTTTTTGGAGTCTAGTGGGAGAAGGGTGTTGGAGAGAGTCCAACCAATTATCAGTAAACTTAAGTAATTCCCTGGTAAAATTCTATGTATGGCACTACCTTTTTGTTTTTGCCTGGTATATTGAAGTCTAGTTTAACCTCTTTAGGAGGCATATCTTCAGTCTTCTGCTAGAGGAGGGAGGAGATCCAGGAGCTGCCTTACTTCTTATACTTATTTTCAGCTGGTACTCTTTCAGCCTCAGTCACATAACTCCTCCCTTTGCTCTATCTGAAAATACCTGGCTCTTCTGGTTTGTGAGCCAGCTAATTTTGCTGTTGGCTTCACCAACTCTAGGCATTTAGCTTTTCCTGGGATACTGTGTTATTGTATCTGATCTGTCTGGTCTCCAACTTCTAAATTTTATATCACTCTGCTCTTCTGTCCTACTTGTTTTTATGGGTTTATACCTTAATTTTGTTTACCACCATTTTAGTAGATTTGTAGGAGGGAGCATTGTTTTTAACCCACTGTCGATCTGAATGTTGACTTAGGCAGTGCCTTTTCATCTGGACTATCTCCCCACTTTTCTGTATTTATTAAAGTTTAGCTTTATGCTTGCCTCCTTTCTGGAACTTTCCCTGATATTTTCAAAGTATAATGGCTTTTTGATTGCACCTCATCACTTAGTAAGCATGAGAATATATTATAGAGCTATTTGAGAGACTATTAGGAGGAAGAGGAAAAGAATAAGTATATTTTTTTCTGTTTAAGTGAGGGGGAAGCTATGGGATTTCAGCACACTGTGAAAGAACTTTCTCACAGTTCAGCAACAGAAATAGATTGCTTCTTCAGAGTCCGGATGACTCTGTGTCTGTAATGTTGTAGGAAGAATTCCTACTTTGAGCTGCGGCTTGAACCAGGTGACTTTTGAGTCAGTTGTTTTTCTGCGTCCTGAGTGGGTTGAGGGTGAAGTTCTTCACAGATGCCTCTGGTGTACTCCATGAGTGGGGAAGCCAAGAGCAGAGAACTTTGGGCTCACCACCACTGTTTCATTCAGAGAAATACCATTTTCATCTCTTTTTATATGTAAGAGCTTTTCATGAAATTTAATTTTAAAAATGGACTCAGCTTTAAGAAACATCTGAAAACTGCTCTGTTCTTTTCTACATGTTTATGAATTAGAATATTTACTATGTATTGGACACTTATTTGCTCTTGATTGCACTTGAATGTGTCTGTTATCTATCTTCTAGTATGTATATATCTGCTAAGAATGATTCTGAAGTTTTGTGGTAGAGAGTTTATATTTTCCTTTTCAGAACTTTTAGAATCTGATTTTTTCAATAAATAATTGTTGAATGTATGACTTAGCCCACATGAATTATTTCTGGTGAATGTTCTTTTTTCCAAGGTGCCAACCGGATAGTATTAGAAGACTCCAATATCTTGCAGCCCGTGGGACTGACTGTGTTTGAAAATTGGCTCTATTGGATTGATAAGCAGCAGCAAATGATTGAAAAAATTGACATGACAGGTCGAGAGGGTAGAACCAAAGTCCAGGCTCGAATAGCCCAGCTTAGTGACATTCATGCCGTAAAGGAGCTGAACCTTCAGGAATATCGTAAGTACTGAGGATGTACTGCTCATTGTAGGATTTCTGTTTGTTGTAAGAAGTTAAGATAATAATTAGATGTTCTTTTGTGTCTTCTTACCACTTTATCTTGAAGATTTCCATGTACTTTTAGTTTTGCCTTTTTAAAACATTTATTATTTATTTATTTATTTTTAATCCCCGCCCAAAGATGTTTTTTCTATTGATTTTTAGAGAGAGTGGAAGGAAGGGGAGAAACAGAGAGAGAACCATCAAGGTGAGAGAGACACTTTGATTAGTTGCCTCCCCCACGTGCCCCAACTGGGATCAGGGATCGAGCCTGCAATCAAGGTACATGCCCTTGACCGGAATTGAACCCAGGACCCTTCAGTCTGAGAACCGACGCTCTAGCCACTGAGCAAACCGGCTAGGGCTAACTTTGTACTTTTACAGACTTATATTAAATTCATCTGGGAGCTTTTTAAATTAAGCTTAATCTTTTTCTCCATAAAATAGGAATGGGGGAATGGAATGGTCTTGCTCATTTTCAAAAATTTTCTCAGGTACAACAGACACTCAGCTTGTGATGCCCTTTCTTTCTCTCCTTCAGCCCCTTTAAGAATACTGATATAAAACGTATATTTCATTCTTTGTATACCCCATAGTTCAAACTAAAGCAAAAGTTGTATTTATATAATGATGGATATAGTTATAATGGAATAACTTTATCTTGAGCAAAAGCAAGCTAAAATCTGTAGGTAAACTTGGAATACTGTACTTTAATAAGTGCTTGTTTTTTTCCTCTTGGATAAAGTTTTCAACTCTGAGCTTTAAAAAAGTAGCCATAAATATTCTTTTTATCCTACTGAAAACTCCAAAATGGATGATCATCTTGGACTATTTCCTTGTTAATAGGTGTCTGTAATCAAAAATACCTTCATAGCAATAATTACTGTAGGTCTTACATGATTGTAGTTTTGAGCTCTGGCCTGTGTGCTCAATGTTTAGAGCATGGACCAGTATACTGAAGGGTATCGGGTTCAACCCCCCATCAAGGGCACGTACCTGGGTTGCAGGTTTGATCCCTGGCCTCGGGTGAGGCATGTGCAAGAGGCAACCTATCGATGTGTCTCTCACTTTGATGTCTGTCTGTCTGTCTCTCTTGTCTGTTTCTCTGTCTCTCAAAATGAATGGGGAAAATATCCTTGGGTGAGATGAGAGAGAGAGAGAGAGAGAGAACACTATTGAAACTCCTTCTCAGCACAATGCCTTTAAATCAAATTGTAATATGAAAGGAGAATAGAGGAATGAGAGCACCATTGCTTGTTCAAGTCCTCATTATTTTGTCACTGTTTATGAACTTGGAAGTTAAGTTTAGAGGTATTTAAGAATTAGAAAGTTAGAATTGTTGCCATTCTCTGTTATGATATGTAACTCATGCAGAACATTTAATAGGAATAAGGTAGTAATGATACAGTGCCTAAGTTATTCAGTTGATATAAGATCTCAATTGAGGTTTTCAGAATTTCCAGGGGGTTTGGTATCTTTTTTATAAATAAATGAACATTTAAATATGGTTTTATATTTGAAAAAACATTTTTTTTTCAAATTTCTAAGAACATTAAAGAGAATGAGGTTTTTATCAAAAGTGCCATGGAATTAAAAGGTTGAGAAACACTGCCGTATTATTTATGTATCCTAATCTAATGACTGATGTCTGTTTTGGGACATTGATGTCGTATAGCACACTGCTCATTAGTAGATAGCTGACTCCCTTAAGCTCATCAGCACTCACCAAAACAGAACGGATGTGTTAGTGAAAAGTCAGATAACAAATGGGTGTCTACATCAGATGTTGGTATTCTGTGAAGGCATATGTCCAGTTACTTTTAACACAAGCTAAGTAGAAAATTCATAGCAATGATTTCATTGAATACAACCTGTCAGACAGACTTCAGATAGTTGCCAGATGGTGTATTTATTTCATTTAACACAAATATGAGGAAATTAAACATTTGTAACATTGCAGGCTATCTTTTTAAAAATTATTATTATTGATTTTAGAGAGAGAGGAAGGAAGAGGGAGAGAGAGAGAAACATGGATGTGAGAGAGAAACAATAATTGGGCTGCCTCCTGCAGGTCCCCTACTGAGGCTGGAGTCGAAACTCTGGCATGTGCCCTGACTGGTAATCAAACCTGCCACCTTTTGGTGTATGGGGTGATGCTCAACCAACTGAGCCACTCCAGCCAGGGCACATTGCAGGTTACCTTTTGCAATTGACTAAGCAAGTAATTTTGATTATTTCTGATTGATTGAGTTCCATGTGAATTTAAATTTTTTCAGTGGATTCTTCATTAATATATACTTTTTGAGTAAAATCATCTTTTTTAGAAAGTTAGAATTTCTGAGTTAAAATCTGTAGTTTAGAAGAGTTTTTATATAGTCTCATCATTCTTCCTACACATTTTTTTTAGTTTCAGTAATCAGCTTTTCTTAGTCACAAAATTAACATGAGCTGTATCATTACCTTGCTTAAAATACTTTAAGATATATATAAACTAGAGGCCCGGTGCATGAAATTCGTGCGGGGTTGGGGGTGGTTCCCTTAGGCCAGCCTGCACCCTCTCTAATCTGGGACCCCTTGGGGGGATGTCTGACTGCCGGTTTAGGCCCTATCCCTGGCTTGGTCACCCTTAACACATTGTGTGTGGGAAACGTATTTATATGTTTTACGTATTTATACGTTCTACCAGTGTAGTAGAGCACGGGACACGTATTAATACCTTTTTTATAGACTAGCGGTAGAATGCGGGTAACATATAAATATGTAAACTAAAGTTATCGTAATTTTACTGAACGTTGCCATTTGCGCAAAAAATTAGCAAAAATGGCCTGCGCCACCTGTTAGTGCACGATATAAACTACCCGCAAACAATGTGTTAACTGCCCCCTGCTGCCGGCCACGTCGACCCCAACTGCCCGCTCTCTGCTGGCCTAGTTGCTCCTAACTGCCCCTCTCTTCCCAGCTGCTGGCCTGTTCACCCCTTACTGGCCCCCCCCCCCCCCCCCACACACACACACTGGCCTGGTTGCCCCCACCTGCCCCCTCCCTGTCAGGCTGGTTGCTCCTAACTGCCCCCCCCCCCCTGCTGACCTGGTTGCCCTCAACTGCCCCCCCTGCTGGCCTGGTCACTCCACAAAGCCTGCTGTTCAGTCGTTTGGTCGTCCCTCACTAATCCCCCTGCCTGCCTGGTCGCCCCACACATCCTGCTTGTTCAATTGTTTGGTCATCCCTCACTAACCCTCCTGCCAGCCTGGTTGCCCCACACAGCCTGTTGTTCAGTCATTTGGTCGTCCCTCACTAACTCCCTTGCTGCCTGGTCATAGGCAGCCATTTTGTGAGGGCATGAGGGTTAATTTGCATATTGCCTATTTATTATATTGCATATATAAAAACAGTGTTTTGTTGTCCTCGTTTTCTTATAGCTTGTGTAGGGATGGAGCAAGGAATTATATATGTGTGGCAAAAAAGTCCTTGGTAATTCATAAATGATTGATTTTGACCTGGCTGTCCTCCCTCCCTCCCTCTCCTTCTTCCTTCTTTACTTTTTTTTTTTTTTTGCAGGACAGCACCCTTGTGCTCAGGATAATGGTGGCTGTTCACATATTTGTCTTGTAAAAGGAGATGGTACTACAAGGTGCTCTTGCCCCATGCACTTGGTTCTGCTTCAAGATGAGCTATCATGTGGAGGTAAATATGTTATAATTTTCCTGTGCAGGTCTAAATGCCAATTAACATGTTCTGTAACTTTAATTTAAATGAAAGAGAAAGACTGTTGTCTACAGTGACAGAAATTTAAAAATAATCTTATTTCTAATGTTAGGAAAATTATTACATAACTGAGTTGATACAGCTATTAAACATTATGATTATAAACTGATATAAAAATGTAGCCCCCCCAAATCAGTGTTTTCTACTATAAAAGCTACATAAAATACATATTTCTGTGAACAAAGATTGAAAGAGCTTATACACTCAAAAAACCATTGAGAAGATGGTATTATAAGACTCTTATTCTAGCTTTTCTAAGTTTAAAAAAAAATAACGTGTTGAGTAGCAACTGTGAAGCATTCTGCTTGGACTGCAAGAGATTGTACATGTTGATTATTAAATGAGCTTCGCTCAGGTATGTTACCTCTGCGTGACAATTATTTTGTTTTTGTCACTCTCCTCCCCCCCTTGTTCATTGAAGAGCCCCCAACATGTTCTCCTCAGCAGTTTACTTGTTTCACGGGAGAAATTGATTGTATCCCTGTGGCTTGGCGGTGTGATGGGTTTACTGAATGTGAAGACCACAGTGATGAACTCAATTGTCCTGTATGCTCAGAGTCCCAGTTCCAGTGTGCCAGTGGACAGTGTATTGATGGTGCCCTCAGATGCAATGGAGATGCAAACTGCCAGGATAAATCAGACGAGAAGAACTGTGAAGGTATCTAAAAATTTTAAGACCTTTTTATATAGTCCTTTTTCCATTAAGTTGTTTGCAATTCAGAATGGAGTGTTACTTTGGCTCAGTGGTAGATTGGGGATTTTCAAGTACATTTGACTTTATTATGTCTAAACATAGTTGAGTACTAATATATGGTGACAGGAGAAGATTTGATTTTGGGTAATGGCACATGATGCAATATACAGAACTTGTAACCAGAAACCCATAACTGAAAGCTATATGTTCATGTTGACAAATGTCACCCCAATCCTATCTAATAATAGAGAAACATGGTAATTAACCGTAACTTTGCTACCCTTCCCATTGGCTAATTGGCAGGATATGCAAATTAACTGCCAACAAAGATGGCGGCCGGCAGCCAGGCAGCTGAAGGGAGCATGAGGGTTGCTTTCTCCAGTGACGGAGGAAGCCAAGGTTCCCCGCCTGCCTCAGCCCAGCTCTGAGCTCAGGATGCAACAATGTAGCAATTATAGAAGCTAAACAAACTCCAGAAACCTGCTTTCAGCCCGCAGCGGGCTCAGAGCTTAGAGGGCCAGTGATGGTAACAGAGTTTCAATTATAGAAGCTAAACAAACTCAGATACCTGCTTTCAGCCAGCTGCGGCCTCAGAGCTGGAGCTGGCTCTCAGCTCCAGTGACAGCTATAGAAGGTAAATAAATCCCAGAAGAAGAAAAAAAGAGGCTGGGAGCTTCAGTTGCCCGCCAGCCTGAAAACGGCCCTCAGCCCCTCACCCAGACTGGCCAGGAACCCCAGTGGAGACCCCCACCCTGAAGGGGGTGTGGCCAGCTGCAAACAGCCATCAGCCCGTCATCGAGGCTGGCCAGGCACCCCAGTGGGGACCCCCACCCTGAAGGGTGCGTGACCAGCTGCAAACAGCCATCAGCCCGTCATCCAGGCTGGCCAGGCACCCCAGTGGGGACCCCAACCCTGAAGGGGGTGTGGCCAGCTGCACACAGCCATCAGCCCCTCACCCAGGCTGGCCAGGCACCCAAGCGGGATCCCCACCCTGATACGAGACACCCTTCAGAGCAAACCAGCCAGCCCCCTCCCGTGCACCAGGCTCTATCCTATATAGTAAAAGGGTAATATGCAAACTGACCCTAACAGCAAAAAGACTGGGAATGACTGGTCACTATGACACACACCACCAGGGGGCAGATGCTCAATGCAGGAGCTGCCCTCTGGTGGTCAGGGCGCTCTCACATGGGAGGAGCTCTGCTCAGCCACAAGCCAGGCTGATGGCTGCCAGTACAGCAGTGGTGGTGGGAGCCTCTCCTGCCTCCTCAGCAGTGCTAAGGATGTCTGACTGCAGCTTAGGTCTGCTCCCCGCTGGCAAGTGGACATCCCCTGAGGGCTGCCGGGCTGCCAGAGGGATGTCTGATTGCCATCTTAGGCCCAATCCCCCGGGGAACAGGCCTAAGCCAGCAGGTGGTCATCCCCTGAGGGGTCCCAGTCTGCGAGAGGGCACAGGCCGGGCTGAGGGACAACCCCCCCCCCCCCCCCCCGCACAAATTTTTGTGCACCGGGCCTCTAATAAATGTAATAAAAATAAATACAGTAACATGTTCCAAATTATTGTTTTAATTAACTTAATATGCATAAGGTTTATATACATCAATAAGCTTTACAGATCCCTAGCTGGTTTGGCTCAGTGGATAGAATGTCAGCCTGCAGACTGAAGGGTCCTGGGTTCGATTCCTATCAAGGGCACATGCCTGGGTTGTAGGCTCGACCCCCAGTGTGGGACCTGCAGCTGATTAATGATTCTCTGTCATCATGGATGTTTCTCTCTCTTTCTCCCTCTCCCTTCCTCTCTGAAACCAATAAATATATATATATATTTTAAAAAGCTTAACAGAGGAATGAGGCCAAAAGAACTTTAGAAGGTAAAAATAGTACTTGTTCCCAACAAACTCTGAATTCGTGAATTTATTTCAGTGTAAAATAATTTTATTACTCTTTCCTTCACTAACCTTTAACATGGTATAAAACAAAAAACAAACAAATATTTTGGAATTCTTTAGTGTCTAGAAATACATGTAGAATTGTTTAATTCTTAACAGAATTATTAGTGAATGATGAAATTTAACATTAAGAACAAAATAGGAAATTTCCTGCTGGATTGCTTTTTCCCTCTCTTAAGGAAAATCCCCTGAGAATAATTTTTAAGATATATCTAAAAGTCTAATTTGTTTTCATTTGCACCCACAAAGTAGTTTTTGACTTGCTAGTATTTAGCTTCACAATATAGTAAAAATAAGAAAACTATTTGCCTTTTTTCCCAGTGCTTTGTTTAATTGATCAGTTCCGCTGTGCCAATGGTCAGTGCATTGGAAAACATAAGAAATGTGATCATAATGTGGATTGCAGTGACAAATCAGATGAACTGGATTGTTGTAAGTAGGACTAAAACCTGCATATTACTCTTTAGGGAGAATTTTAATAGTATATTTTCCTTTTCTTTATGTGTGAGTTTTACTTATAATCACTACTTCCTTACTAAGAAACAACTGTTAATGGTAAGCATGTTTTGCTTTTAATAAGTCCTCAAAAGACAGCAGTTTTCTTATGCACAAAAATTCTTCACAGAAACAGTTAGTGTAAAGCATTAGAAAATAATAAATATTGTTTAGCCACAACTAAAGTTAAGAAATTCTGAAACAATTTATAGGCATACCATGGAGATATTGCTGTCTTGGATCCAGACCACTGCAATAAAGCGAATATTACAATAAAATGAGTCAAACTAGTTTTTTTGTTTACACTGCATATAAAAGTTTTCTTAAACTATAATGTAGTCTATTAAATTCAGTGGCATTATGTCTTAAAAAAAACAGTGTACATATTTTAATTTAAAAAGTTTACTGCTAAGAAAATGCTGTCATCTGATCTTGTTGGAAAATGGCGCTGATAGACTTTTTTGTCATCGGGTTGCTACATACCTTCAATTTGTAAAAAAAACACAATCTGTGAAGCATACTAAAACGAGAAATGCTCGTAGTTATGTGGAACTCAACCAGTAGTCTAAACTTAAGAGTTTCTGAACATTAGTTCATATTTAACATCTCCCATTTTTTTTCTTGATACAATTCCACCAGTATCTCAGTGATTTTAAGAGCTTTCTTTCCCTGGCCAGGTAGCTCAGTTGATTAAAGTGTTGTCCTGATATGCCAAGGTTGTGGGTTCGATCCCTGGTCAGGGCACAAACAAGAATCAACCAGTGAATGCATAAGTAAGTGGAACAAAGAAGCAATGTTTGTCTTCCCCTACTTCCCCTCTCAAATCAATTTAAAAAAAAAGACAGTGCCCTGGCCAGTGTGGCTCAGTTGGTGGGGCATTGTCCCATGCACCATGAGGTTGCTGGGTCGGGCATGCCCGGGTTGCAGGTTTGATCCCCAGTAGGGGACATGCAGAAGGCAGCTGATCGATGTTGCACTTTCACATTGATGTTTCTGTCTCTAAAAATCAACTTTTTCAAAGTAATTTTTAAAAAGGACAGTAAAAAAAAAAAAAAAAAGGTTAAGGACACTTATGCCAACATATACTTATAGACCTAGAGAATGTAGGCTGAATAGCCTATAGTTTCTTCAAGGTTCATAACTATTGACCAGTGCCTGAACATATAATATATTCCAAAGTGGTAAACTTAGTTCTGAATGCAGTTCAGCATAAGCCAGGTCTATCCTGTCAAAATTGGTTTAATGGAATTTAGATAGGTCTCGTTTTAAAACTCTTTAATCTTAATAAAGACTTTAAGCTGATATTTTTATAAATTCAAATAGGATACTTACTAAGACTTGTAGAATCTATTCACTTATTCAGGATGGCATGGCTGTGGAATTGGGAAAGCTGTAAAGCAGATGGATTGGAGGTGATAAGATTATAGGAAGGGAAATGTTAGGCTGGTTGCTGTCAAACTTTTTTGACCAAATCAAGAGGATACAAAGACATGGGTGCACACATAAACAGATATGTCATACAACAGTATTTATCCGTAGTTTGTAGAATGCATTCTGACTTTTCTGTTTTAAAATTCTATTTGCATCCCACTAAATTGTTTTCACTATCTAGTAACTTGCAGCCTGTAATTTAAAAATGCTTAGGAGACTATTATAGTTCAGGCAGAAGATGATGAAGATCTAAATCAAGAGGAGCAGTGGTGGTGGAAAGAGAGATTTCAGAGTTATTTCTGAAATAAAAAAGGTTTGGTAACCATTTAGATATAGTTGATAAGTTTAGGTTGACACACAGATACCTCATTGAGGTACTGGAGTCATTAACTGGAATATATCACAGGGACTGTAAACTGAAGTACCATATCTTGGCTGCAGATGTAATGTTTGGCTGATTTAGGTTTTTTAAAATTTATTTTTAATTTAATTTAAATGCCTTTAATTTGCCAAGAGCACCTCATTTGTTTTATGATCTGCTTTACCCCTGGCATCTAGGAAACATGACAGATGCTGGTGACAGAGAGTTCACTTTGAATGTGTTGTATTCAAGTCGCCCATGAAGTTTTTCAGGAAGTTGTTGACTGTATGGGTCTGTAGCTCAAGAGAGAGATTTGGGCTCTTCAATTTATTAATGATAATTAAAGCAGAGTCAGTGGATGAAATCTCCCAGGGAGAGTTAAATAGAGGAGGAAAATAGCAGGGGTAGACAGAACTCTGGGAACCACCTGTACTTAGGAGGCAGACAGAAGAGAATGAAGCCAACAAAAGGAAACAGAAAGAATAATCTGAGATAGTGAAACTAAGAGAGTGGTATCTTGGAAGGATATTGATCAGACATTTTTGAGGAAAACAAGAGCCAGCAGCATTGAGAATATAGAGAGGCCAGTGAGGTGAAGGGTTCATTGAATGTGGCAAATAGGAGAATGTTGATCTTTGCCAGACTAGTTGCAGTGTGGTGAGGATAAGAGCCTGATTTCAGTGAGTCAAGATATGACCCAGAGACTTTAAGAATTGGAGATAGTGAGTGTAAAGTATTCTTCTTAAGCTTGGCATTAGGAAGGAATGTCAAGGCACTAGAAAGGAATAAGAAAGATGAGATGGTTGCTCACGGGACTAAGAATCTGCCTCACATGCCATAGATGAAATATGTAACTGGCAGCCCCTATGTATTGTGTAACAGTAATGTTATTTTCTCTCATTTATATTATTTAATCTATCAGAGGGTGAGTTTAACTATGTGGATGGGTGTTTGAGGTAAGACAAAGCAGAAGGAAGGTTTTTAAAGGATTTGCAGTTGTGAGCAATATAGTCTGACCATTCAGAATGGAATGATTTTCCTTCTAAATTGAAGAATAATGCTCTAAATCAGATGAGCCCTTTTGCTCTTTCCCTCTACCTCTAATATTGATGTCTCTGCTTCTAAAGCCTCAGATGGAGCAGGTGGATGCCAAGGGCAGGGTCTTGCTCCAGTGCTCTCAGGCCCTGGCTTTCTTTCTGAGTCCTCAAGTACTCCTGTATCAGAGGCCTGTTCCTTGCCCTCAGGCAGCAAGACTCACCCTGAAGGCATCAGCTCATTGGGCCTGAGAGCTAATGTTCATCTTTAGCCCCCAGTTTCCTGTCACCAGGCCTACATGTCACTTCTCAAACCTAAAATCCAGCCCAGGCTTGCTTTTGGCTTCACCATTCCAGGTCATTTAATGACTTTTTTAGATTCATCCCTTCTGGCCCTAAAATTTGTTCTAAGATTCTAAAATAAGTTTGTTGATTTTTAGGATATACAGAATAAAGTATGATAGATTTTTATATGTATATGTAATTAAAACTTCTTAATGGAGTTTAACTATAATTCACTTAATTTTTTTTTAAATCATTTACAGTATGGTTCCCAATGTTTTGTTTTATTTTTGTTTTCACTTAAGGATGGTTCCTTTGATTCTTAATGATAACATTTATCCATAATCCATGGGGCATGGTGTATATGCGTTCCTAAAAAAGAAAAGTGTTGCCGAAACCGGTTTGGCTCAGTGGATAGAGCGTCGGCCTGCGGACTGAAAGGTCCCAGGTTCGATTCCGGTCAAGGGCATGTACCTTGGTTGCGGGCGCATCCCCAGTAGGAGATGTGCAGGAGGCAGCTGATCGATGATTCTCTCTCATCGATGTTTCTAACTATCTCCTTTCCTCTCTGTAAAACATCAATAAAATATATTTAAAAAAAAAAAAGAAAAGAAAAAAAAAGTGTTTATAAGTTGTCTTCATTAGCTTCGCACTCTGCTCGCAAGCCCTCTTTTTGATTACTACTTTGACTCTACAGTTGTTTTTCATTACATAACTGTACTGCCTTGCCATTTTAGATCCAACCGAGGAGCCAGCACCACAGGCCACCAATACAGTTGGTTCAGTTATTGGAGTAATTGTCACTATTTTTGTGTCTGGAACCATATACTTTATTTGCCAGAGGATGTTGTGTCCACGTATGAAGGGAGATGGAGAAACCATGACTAATGACTACGTAGTTCATGGACCAGCTTCTGTGCCCCTTGGTTATGTGCCACACCCAAGTTCTTTGTCAGGATCTCTTCCAGGTGAGTTAAGACTGATCCACTGAGAATCAAGTCTTGGGTCCTGGCAAGATTCCCAGATTTCCATAATTGAAACAGGATACTACCCAGAGTCTATATCAAACTAGAGCACTTTGGATTTAAAAAATTATAAGAACAAATTTTCTCTTTTACTTTTTGCATCTTCTCTGTACACAAAAGACCTGAGGTATGGTTGGTGAAAGCTGCCAAAAGATACAAAGCAAGTACATAGACAAGCATTTCTGTATACTACATATACTGCATTTCTGGATGCAATCTATTGAAAGTGAATCAGCTAGTCATTTAGTGAAAAGTCATAAACCACAGTTCTTTAGATTCACTACCAGACAACTTTAGTACTATGGAGACCAGGAATTAAAGGAGGCCAAAAAATAGACTAAGATTTCTTTTTAGCAAAAATTTAGAAATAGCTGGGTGATCGCCGGGAGGTATATAATGTCTTATGTTCTCTTCTAACTTTTTAAGTGGTGACTGGGATTGGGGTTTATTCAGGCAAAGCCAAGTAACCAGAAGTTCTAAACTTGGGTAGACCATGTTGCTCTAGGGAAGTACAGCTTTTTTATCCGAGCTTTCTGGTGCCCTTAGTGTAAAGAGCCTCTTAGAAAGAGGTTCTAGGCAAAAGCCCTCTAAAAATATTTAGAACTTATTTACGTGTAACCAAGTAAACAGTCACGTGGAAAAAACGAAAATTTTTCTTTAGCAATGGTGGTTGTGATTACAATATTTGCATCTAGTAGCTGAAGAAATAATCTTCCACACATTGTATTCATGCCTTAAAAAATGGGTTTAGTTTCCTTTTGTGCAGATCTGTTGTTAGTCTAACCTGCTGCACAACCTCCACTTTCCTCAGATCCCTTAAGAGGTTGAAAACCTCTCATTTTATCTCATTTTGAAGAGCTCTGCTTCCATTCTGGGTGTGTGGGGGGAGGGGGGTGAAGAGGCTATTCTTGGCCTTGTCCTAGGCCAGCTCTCAATGGAAGTGTTCACTTTAGAGAGTATTCATTTCCCTTCTCCATTAAATGTTCTCAATTATTAGAAAAAGAAGGCATATATTGTTTAAAAGTCAAACTCTTTGACTGTTTTATAGATCTTACTCATCTGTATTTGTCCTCCTTCATTTTAGGAATGTCTCGAGGTAAATCAATGATCAGCTCCCTCAGTATCATGGGGGGAAGCAGTGGACCCCCTTATGACCGAGCTCATGTCACAGGAGCCTCATCAAGTAGCTCTTCAAGCACCAAAGGCACTTACTTCCCTGCAGTAAGTAGTCTGGTTTCCTTCATTTCACTTTGAATGCTAAGAACAGAGGATCTCAGATTTTTAACTCAGTTAAATGTGGGTGGTCAGTGATGGTAATGTAAAAAGGTTTTTAGTATAGGAGTCAGGCATATAAGGTTCAAATAAGGCTTTATCGTCACCATGCAAGCACTTGTAAATCTTTCTTTATGTTGGCTGTGTAGTAAACAGCATATTTGAAAGTACTGGACATTACTTTCTGTGTAGGTAAAAGTAACTCCTGAGAGGCCTCAGCACCTTCATTTATCTCATGACCTCCCAAAAGAGGAAGCACGTGGTATTTCTCCTAAGTCAGTAATTTTTCTTTAAACAATTATAATTTGAAAAAAACAACAACAAACAAAACCCAGCTCTACTGAACTTAAACCAGTGACTTTTAGATTATAGACTTTCTTCTCATCACCTTGAGCTGGTTAGCCATGATGAAACTGTGTTGTAAGGAGTGGAGAGCCACAAACCTAAGGTCACGTCTTTGCAGAAGGATTGTGCTAATAGTGTGATGGGAACGAATAGAGTAGAGATGGAAGAAGAGAAGTTGAAAGAAAGTTTGATAGTCTCTGTCTGGGATGGGCCGTTGTTATTTTAATAATTTCATTATTTTCCCTTTTAGATTTTGAACCCTCCGCCATCCCCAGCCACAGAGCGATCACATTACACTATGGAATTTGGTTATTCTTCAAACAGTCCTTCCACTCATAGGTCCTACAGGTAATACACCTCCTCCTCTAACACAGATAGAGGTATTTATTAGAAGGATGGGGTATTCTAATACCTCGGGCTTGATGTAGCACCAAGTGAGTAGATGATGGTCACAGAGAGAATAGGCCTCTTGTCTTGGTAATGCTGACACTGCCCCTGTCACAGATTCTTTTCTTTCAGGGCATTCTATAGTGTTTAAAAGAGAGTCACAAATGCTGGCTTTTAGAATAACAGTATAGCCCTCAGAGCTTTGCAATATTCTAAGGAAAAGTTACCTATCAAAATGACTGATTTCGAAATAGGTTACTGCTCGGGTTAGGTTTGATAGAAAGTCTAAGGATATGAAGTATTGGAATAAAACTCCACATGGTTCAGAGAGTTGAGAGCACTCTAAAACAGCAGGGTTATTAAGAGCACAGAATTTGAGAGAACCTTCTGTTCAGCCCTTGCTTACATGTGTTATTATGACCTGAAATGAGGTATTTCTTATACAACTGCATGGAATAGGTCACAACTCATTAAGAGGGGGAGTGTGCCTTTGTGCTGATCTGTAGAGCATAGTGAGCAGGTTAAGCATGAGTATTAGAGTGTTGCCCTACTTGTCTCTCTTATTTGAAAGGCCAACAGTCAAGAGCATGATATTCTTTGATTAAACACTCAGTGCCCGGTATTTAATGTCAGTCCTCAAGTGCCTGTTATCTTCTAGATAAGGTGTTTCCTAGTATTCCAGTCAAATTGCCCTGAAGTAGCTGCATAGATGTGTGGAAATCAAATGGAAACTTGTTATAGTACCTCATTCAGAATTCTCAGTTCAGCTTATAGATAATGGCTATTTGAGATAGGCTTGACACTGAACTGAACGTTGCTTTTCTTGCCACAAGTTTGTTTTTAAAAAGCTAAAATAAAAAAAACAGTGGAAAAATTATCCTCACGTGAGGATTAACAAATAAATTAAAAGCCAAAATAGAAAGGCAGAAACCTGAAAATTGAAAAAAAAGAAAGGCCTAAATATTTATTTTAAACCTTTAATTTCTTTAAATTGAATAAAAAACTGTTTGATTATAATGAACATAATTACATCAAACCCAGTTCTTAATAATTTCCCATATCTCAAATTAAGCCCAGTTTGTTTCTTCTGAGTGAAACTTATCATTTGTTGAGATTTTTGTCTAAAATGAAACTTGAAAGAATTTTGTTAATTCTGTTACCTTCCTTTCCCTGTTTTTTCCCCATGAAAATGGAAGTATTGGGCTTTTTAAATGTTGAGCCAAGAAATTTTATCAAGGCTCTTTTATCTGGACAGAAAGATAAGACCTAAAAAATACTATGACATCATGTTGATATTGGTAGTAAAAAAAAAAAAAAAGCTTGAGAAAACCTGCTCAGCAGGTTATGTGATATTTGGTCTTTTGGCAACCTTCTCTTTTGAGGCAAGTCCTAATGCTCTCAGATGGTTTGTATCCTGGGATATAATCTGTGGTACTCTCTATCACTAGGTATTTTGTGGATTGTTACTTCAGTTTTGCACTTGCTCTTGCCCCTCTGTTGCAGTTACTGTGTTTGATGAGAAAGCATATAAGATTAACTTTTCTATATTTAGAATATAAGAAGTTGCAGGTAGAAATAGAAATGATAGAAAAACTAGCACGTTAAGTCAGCTCTTATTTTTACTAGTATGATCCTGTCTTTTCAATGCCTTTTTCTTTAGTTAGTCATGCTACAAACTTTATTCACGACTATAGATTATTTAAAAAGGTAAGAAGTAAGTTATGTCAAATACATATTAAAAGTTCACTGGTCCTCTATGGGTATTTAGAATTTATCATTTTGATGTTGAGGTAAAGCTGCTCTTATGACCATACGCTTGTCTTTTGGAGAATCAAAACCTTCTCTGAAACCACAGCAGTTTCCCTTTGCTGATAGGAACAGTAATGGGATAGATATGCCCCTTAGGCTGTCTATAATATTCAGTCTGGCTTATACAGTATTTGATTTTTAAAGAGAGAATGAAGTCTTCAGCCATCACTAAATTATTCATCAGGTAAATTATAGAGCAGTTGAAGAATGTTGAAGGAACATACACACTTTTAAGTAGTATAAAGCGTGTGAAGACCCACCCTGGCTGGCATGGCTCAGTTGGTTGGGGGTCATCCCCTGCACGGAAAGGTTGCAGGCTTGATTCCCTGTTAGGGTACATGTCCCGGTTGAGGGTTCAATCCTTGGTAGGGGGCGTGTAGGACCAATCGGTGTTTTCGCTCTCAGATCAGTGTCTCTCTCTCTACCTCTCCCTTCCTCCCTCTCTAAAAGTCAATAAAAAATATATTTTTAAAAAAGTGTGAAGATCCATTCTTCTTACAGACCACACAGAAATTGGTGAGGCTCACTATATCTAGACTAAAGGCTGAATGTATAACTGACAGATTTCCAAAAATAACCATTATGTACAACTTTGAATAGTTCTTTTTTATTTCTTTATCCAGTTTAATGTAAAGCTATAAGAGCACATCCAGGGTCTAGATTGAGTTTATCTGTGCATTTCCATCCTATTCATTTTCAGTTGCCTCTAATCACATTGTATTTTCAAATATAAAATACATGCTACCTTCCACTTCCAATCTGCCTTTGAAAATTACCTCCTGGTCTGTGCAAATTTAGATTGTAGTTTATTATCTTCAATGTGAAGTTTACATCTAATACCTCTGTATTTTGATAGGAAAAACCACTTTTCCATAAAACTAACTCTTCTCTTGGTTTTCTCCCTATACCAGCTACAGGCCATACAGTTACCGGCACTTTGCACCCCCAACCACACCCTGCAGCACAGATGTTTGTGACAGTGACTATGCTCCCAGCCGGAGAATGACCTCAGTGGCAACAGCCAAGGGCTACACTAGTGACTTGAACTATGACTCAGAGCCTGTGCCCCCACCTCCCACACCCCGAAGCCAATACTTATCAGCAGAAGAGAACTATGAAAGCTGCCCACCTTCACCATACACAGAGAGGAGCTACTCTCATCACCTCTACCCTCCGCCACCCTCTCCCTGTACAGACTCCTCCTGAGGAGGGGCCCTCCTCCTCTGACTGCCTCCAATGCAAACATGTACATACAGATTTGGTTGAGATCTGGAGGGGGGGAGGGAGATACTAGAGAAGGATGAGGCAGACCATGTACAGTTAAAAATTATAAATGGGGTAGGGAATACTGGAGATATTTGTACAGAAGAAAAGAATATTTATATATTTTCGTAAAACAGCAAATTTGCTGCTTGTGCCATAAAAATTTGTATAAAAATAAATTTGTACTAAAAGTTTTATTTTTGCAAACTAAATACACAAAGCATGCCTTAAACCCAGTGAAGTGACTGAGTACAAGGAAACAGGAATAATAAAGGCATCAGTGACCAGGAATGTCTGGGCTTTATTGATACCAAAAATAAAAGTAGAAGAAGAAAAATTTAAGTCCATCTTAGAGCAGCTTGGAAGTAGCCAGATTGCCTTCATGTTTACTAGCACTTGAGGGCCTACAAGTATAAGAAATCATGAAAGAAAATGGAATTAATATTAACTTTGGACATAGGACTTTGTTTTCTCTAGAACCCAGCAGTTTTAGTGAGGAAAACATACAAAAATCCGATCTGGGTGTTGCTGTTGTAGGAAGATCAGCTGTCTGGTGAGATGCTGTGGGGCTGATGGTGTGCACAGCCTCCTGTCCCTCCCTCAGAATCCACACTCGCCTCTCAGACTTTCTCCTCTAGGGGTTCTCACCCTGCTTGCTCCCCCAGCAGCTCTGCAGGCCGTTTGCCAAGATACCATGATTTATTCAAAGCTTGTTACCTGAAGATTGATTAAATGAAATTTTCTAAATTACGGTTTTATTTTAATATTTATACTCGCTCCACTCTCCTGTAGGCTCAGCTCTTCAATTTGACTGCTGTTTGTGCATAATGATCGAAGGTTAGACATATTATTGCTCCTCTTCTGAGATTGTTTTAATGCTCATTAAACTGTCTTTTTACAACACATATAGGCAACGTTTAAGAATTACAAATTTAACCGTATGTTTTTGTTGTAAGTTGATCATATATCCTTGCAGTACTTTCAGCATGTAATATCACAGTATAAAATCATTTTTATATATATTTTTCCTACTAAAATATTAAAATATGTTCTGGTTAGAGACAATCTATATAAAAGGAGAATGTTTTGTTATCATTAGGGTTTCCCGTTAGTAACTGTTCATGACATTTTCGTGTGCTTTAGGCCAATTTTTCTCAGAATGATGTCTGCATACATACCTCTTCTAACGTGTGACATGAGTTTAATATCTTTCTTGTTACCTAATGTGAATATTAGATTTTTTTCAAATTATCTAAATTATCCTTATAATCACCTCCTATATATATATCAGTGTGTGTTCTCTCTTATCCTGTTACGGATTAAGATGATTTAACAAATTTAACAACACGGATTAAATGAGAAGGCAAACTATTAACTTCTCAGCCGTCAGAACTCGGTGGAGAGGATACTGGAAGGCTCTCTGTAACCTGCCTGGCCTGCGTGGTAAGGGCTGCTGCACCCCCAGCTGTCAGGGCTGACCTGTGGGACAATTCTAGCGCTTCGTTGCCACCTTGCCAGAAGTTGGTTTCCTGCTTTACACGTGTTTCCAGCATTTCTCTGCTAAAATTGAATGTGTTTTTAAACTAATGTATTTCTTACCTTAGCAAATGTTGGTCATTTATTGCTGAATGGTTTTTTTAAATTCAATCTTGCTGAGAGGCCTCTCTGGATTTAAGGGCCCAACGAAAAACAAGGGAAGAAAGGATTCAGAATATCTGCAAGGGTGAAGTAATTCTTTAAGCAATTAAAAAATGCCTAAGTAAACTTTTTCAAGAGAAAAAAACGTGGTTTCAGAATACTGGTTAGATTGCTGGGGACACCTTACAAGAATCCGTGCGCCTTATAAGAATCCTGTGCACTTGATTTTGCATATGAATAAATGGTGATCCAGCAGTGTCTTGCATCTCAGTCAGCAAGTGTAACTCTTCCTGTGAAAGGAACAGTGTGCTCACAGCCCAACAGAATGGACACAGAAGGTGCATTCTGTGACATACCGCGGGCACTTGATGCTTAAATGAAGATGGAAAGGTTAGCAATAACTGGGTATCAATTAGAATTTGAGAATTCTATATGTTTACATTTTTTAATGTGCATCTTTATCTGGTGGGCTTCCCATGTGGAAACTTGCACTATAATGAACTAAGAAGAATATTGCCTTGTTGTATCTCAGTCCAAGTGCTTGTACTGCGATGGCAATGGCCTCTTCTTGCAAAATGCTAATTTGTGTGCCAATTTGAAATTATTTGAAGGCGGTTCAGCTTAATCTCAGAATCCTCTTTCTGGGGTAGTTGAGATGGATTTTTAATGTTTTGGGGAGTACCTTTAAAATGAGAGAATTGTCAGAATTCAGGAAGGATTTATTGGCCCTCAGGTTAAATGGACAGTTAAGCTTAAGTAAACTTTCTTGATTATTAAACACAAGAGCTTTTATTAGAAAAACTAAGGATAAAAAAAAAACGCTCACAAATCATGACAGCACAAATTGGGAGAAAAAAATCAAAAAGGGTTTTTAATTTGATGTATTGTGAGATTCATCATCCATGAGTGGAGAATAAATAAAATTTCATTAGATTCCTTAAATAAAAAAGTATTTATTTCAAACATGTCTTAAAATATGCCCACTTACTGATATGTTTAGGGTTATCTGAGAAATTAACTTTAGCAGAGCATACGTTCAGCGCACTATAGTAAGCTGTTCCGCATCAACATGGTCTTATATGACCCTGAACTTTTCTGACTTTGAACTTGGCTCCTGCAGAGCCCTGGTCTTCTGAACAGTGGTCTGAGGAATTTTGCTCTGAACCGTTAATACATTTAACAACTATTCTAAATGGATGTTATGTATTTAGAAATCTAGTACCGGAGGATAAGTCAGAGGGGGGTGGTTTGGGCAGTAAAATTTTAGGATGTTTGAGGATTGCATTTGTTCATTTAAAAATTCTCTTAAGTCAATAATTTGTATAGGGCCAACTCGTTCGATATTAGGATATAAAAATAGCCTCCATTTTTATTGGGTAGCAGTTAGTTTTGGGGGGAAAGCCCATTTGCTGTAAAGGCCCATTAATGAAGAATTCTTCAGGTACAGTTAGTAGCTGCAGCCTACCTGGCCTGTTAATAAACTGTATGTATATGTGCCCTGATACCAATAATCATGGTAGACATTGTTTACTTCTGGTACTAGAGGGGCTTTCCTGAAGCTCCTCTGCGATAGATGTACTGCTGCTGTTCCCTGTCTAGTCCTGTGTCTAGATTAGATGCTTAGACATGCAGTTTTAAGATTGTTTTATCTCTTGCCACTCCATTGGTTTGCATGCTATAAGATCTGCATATTGGTTACCATTTCACATCTAACAAAATTCAGAAACAGAAATCTTCGGCTTTTCAAACCCCAAATATGTCATGCTTTATTAAGTTACATAGTGTGGACTGTGGATATGAGTATGTAAATATTAGTCAGCTGACAAATACTTGGACATCTACAAATGAGACTGTACACTAGGTGTAGACATGAACTGAGTCATAAAGAAGTTTATAATCAAATTTGTTTAAAACACCTCAGAATTTTTAAACTAAAGAAATTTAATTTTATTTGAATTACTTTCCTTATCCCAAGCCTAAAATGAGCCAAGAGAAATAACAAATGATTTTAGAAAGTACTGGTGCATGTGTGGTTTCTGTCTTCTGGAATGGCATCATTTCATAATAGTCTGAAAAGTTAGCTTTTGAAATTTTCAATGTTTTAGACAGAATTTAGACCTAAAATATGTCATTTTACATTTATAATTTTAAAATATTGTTAATGATGAGTATTGTAAATTTATATGCTCAGGATATTAATTCTGTGTTTTATTAAACTAAAACGACGTGAGTAGAGGGGGGAGGTAGATTTTTTTTTAGGGTAATCTAGATTATTTAGAGCAGCAGTTCTCAACCTATGGGGTCGTGACCCCTTTGGGGGTCGAACGACCCTTTCACAGGGGTCGCCTAAGACCATCGGAAAACACATATATAATTACATATTTTTTGTGATTAATCACTATGCTTTAATTATGTTCAATTTGTAACAATGAAAATATATCCTGCATATCAGATATTTACATTACGATTCATAACAGTAGCAAAATTACAGTTATGAAGTAGCAACGAAAATAATTTTATTGTTGGGGGTCACCACAACATGAGGAACTTTATTAAAGGGTCGCGGCATTAGGAAGGTTAAGAACCACTGATACAGAAATTACTATCCTCACCCTTCTTCAGTGCAGGTACACTTCACTCTGTATCTGTTTTTTGTAAGGCATTCTTAAACCATGAAGTTTACCGCTGAAAGAAATATTCATGACTTTACAGGTAGAATTATAAACTAACCATATAGAACTAACAAAAACTCCCCCCCCCCTCACCCCCCACCATTAGTTAGGATTTGCCTAAAAGTTAACACCAAACAATTATAGAGAACTGCTTTTGCTTAACTGTCCATTCTTTTTTAAATTAAATATAATCAGGGTAGGGATGCATATATATGTATGTGAATATGTATATATGACCATTCCTTTAATATGGGTATTAAAAGGAAAATAAAGCAAAGAGAGTCTGATTAAATGTAATGTTACGTGAAATTAAGTATCTGGGATTAGTGAGGAAAATTTAGAGTAAAGAGGATACTGAGAAGCTTGAGCTGGACTAGCCTTATTTGCAAGTGAAGGATCTGGTGCTGCTTTCAGATGTTTATCCTTTATGTGTTTTAAATTTTTTCTTAAGCTTTAATCTTTGTTTTGTCTTAAAGTCAGCTGGTGTTTCTTGTCCATGGACTTTGGTACGATGGTGCTTTGCAAGGATGTATTTATATATTTTAATGGCCAACATTTGGTCAGCCCTTGTCCACTATTCAGTTCCCCCTTTTTGTAAAATAAGTGCTTTAATTGTAAACTGTATAAAGATACCTTGTATAAATCCTCCTTTTGATTATTACAATAAGCTGAGTTGTAACAAATGAAATGTTGATTTTTATAATAAAACAGTGGAAAATAAAAGTGTTTCTTTTCAGCAAGAAATTAAAACCAGCTGCTTGGGCTTTGCTGTGATACACAACCATTGTGTTTCAGACACACCAAAACCCACCTTTATTTTTATTTCAAATGAAATACAACCTTATTAATCAGTGATTGAGCTCAAATAGGTGATTAATGGAAACCAA